GTAATTACAATTAAATCATAGTTATTATGAGATACTTTAAAACAGCTTTATGTATCGTTTATTTTAATCTTATAATTGCATTTGATATGAGAAAAAATGTTATAACGATTATACGTATATGATTATATTACAAGCATTATGTATATAAGATAAAACCAGCAAAATTAAAACTTTTTTTTCAGTGATGTTTCGAAAAAACAATAGATTTTAAGTTTTAGGTTTTTTCTGTACTGTGTGTATTTATGTATATTATTGTGATAAATTACTCTAAACTTGTCCTATTCATTATGCTATATTCTGCAATATTCTGATATAACTGAGAATTATATTCAAGAGAAATTATATGTAAGGTGTATTCCTTGAATGATGTATGTAATATGTAAAAGTAAAGGACAAAAAAGATAAAAAAATTATATGAAATACGTATTTAATATTATTAACAACAATCACATTTTATTATCCAAGATTTCCTAAATGATTTTTTTATTTCTTAGTCAGAAAATATTTGTACATGAAACTATTTTACGTCATATCTTCTCTCATGGATGTATACTAAAATAAATTATATCGTCTGATTATTATAGAGTCAACGTACTAATCATGATTGCTTGCTTACATTTTTTATTATTTATGTTTGATATGTAGGTACAAAAATTTTTGCCTCTTAATTTTTTAACTATTTGTTATTTTACATTATAGTTAATTTTCTACATCTTCATTGCTTACATAAAAAAGGAATTGAAACATGCAATGTCAATCCGTACGCATCATGAATTATCTAGTATTGTCTAGTATCTTGCCTGAGTGTAAAAGTAGTATTCTTCGTGTTAAGTTTATTGTACGAGAATTAACAGAAAACTAATATGTACAATTATTCTTATGGCCATATTTATTATTGCTACGTATAAAAGTGTAAATATATTTTTAATTACATAAAGTGAGGTCGGTGGATACTCATTAAAAACATGGAAAAACTTTGTATAGGTACATTTCATTTGTGTGCATTCTACTAACTACTTTTCTACATAAACAAAGTTTGAACTAATTTTTGCAAAATAATTTCTCCTCTCAATTCTTTCTCTCCAATACTCGGTATCTAATATAATTTTCCTACACATTATACATTAATTATTAAAAATTTAATTAAAAATGTTATGTACAAATCCGTAGATTGTAGTCAAGTAAAATAGCTGGCTAATCAAGCTAAAATATTTGGTCAAAATCGACCTGAAATTAAAATAAAATCATTCCACTTTGGATGATTTTGTTATATCCTTTTTGTATACCGGTTTTTTCAATATATAATTTCTCATATTCTGGAACGGTGTGTCGAATAGTAGCGTGAGAACTATTGATATAAGAAGAATCCCTCCTATCTCTTTTAGATTTAGCTGAAACAAATTATAGAATACGTTTAAAATAATATTACATTTAATTAAATAATTTTATAAATGGATGAGTAAAATGGACAAGAAATTTTACATCTGTTTTAAGAGTACAAGACTTACCATTATCCTCAAAAAGTCGTAGTGATCCGCAGTGCGGGTTTGTCCAACATTGAAAAAAAATATCGGGAATTGCGTTAAATAGACGGCGTAACTAATTCTCGTAGTAACGAGGAATCCTCGCCAAGAGAATATTTTGTTCAAAAACACTGCGAATTCGATAATGCAAAACATATTATTCGGAGATAATTGCTATTTATAAAATGTTAACTCCGCAATATTAACGCGATAATAATTACCATTTGAACTGCCAGTGTGCTGCGTTATCGCTATCCAAAGAAACAGGCTGCACCATCCGATAGGAGCGAACGCGTTATAAGCTGCCGCGTGAATCGGGTCGTATACGTAATCGATAGAACCCATTTTAGAAGGCCCGATAACGGCCGCCAAAAACATTAGACTACATATAGTCCATCCTATATAGAGAGTTGTCTGAAAACATTGAAAATTAGTATTATTTATCGCACAGTCAGAGAAAATCGTTGTAACAATACTAATAATTATAAAAGTGACAACTATTACTATACAAGTTTTATATGTATAATTAATGTACATACAATTTTACATATAAAATAGTTTATAACTATGCGCATATTAATTCTACTTGTATAGTTTTATAGTTGTTATCTTTATAGTTGCTATCACCATGTCTTTTTTTCTGATTGTAAATATCGCGTATGTAGACAATTGATGCAATGATACTCACTGTGCCCAGTTTGAAATCCTTGGGTAAATTTCGCAGGAAGTAACCCGCAAAAATTCCAATGATGTAAACAGTCAGTCTGTGCGATGGTAATGTGTACGAGTAATCCGCAGTATCGAATAATTGTCTTATCCTACAGAAGAATGAGATACGAATAATATATTTGAAATAATCGATTTTGTTCTTGCTGTAACGCAAACATTGATTTACTTACGACGTGCCATAATATACGTAATTGTTGAGATCTTTGGCATACGTGACGTAAAATCTCAATATCGTAGATATCAAGGCCATTGTACCAAGTACAATAGCGCCGATCTTTGGCTTTTTGTACAAGAGTAATACCAACACAGGAGAAATCGCGAATAATTGTGTGTCTATTCCTATATGATGCGTGTGCGTAAGACACTGAAAGCAGAGTACGGTTTATCTCTCTAATTTTTAATGAAAATATAGGCTAAAAGTCAAACGCATTGAAATATTTAATTTCTTGCTAATATTCTTACAAAATTGGAAAATTTGTATTAAATTTAACATATCTCTTATTAAATTTTCATATCTCCTAAATTTACTGTGTAAAAAACATTCTGTTCTTTTTTTTAATCTTGTTTTTTAAAGTTTTTAAAAATGTTTGCGTTTTATTTCTTCTAGATAACTATTTTATACGTATTTTACCTACCATATTCTCAAATCCGAAATAATTGTGAATAAATAAGAAATTCCGCCACCATGTTCTCTTGCAGATTTCCGCGTGATTGGTCACCACCAGCGGCCACTGCGGTCCAGATCCGATGTACGGCATAATGTAAGTACAGAACAATATCAGCGCACCTAAAGTAGGCACTAGCCTGAAACCATTGTACGTATTGAAAGAAAACCATTTTCTATTTTTATTTATATGACTAAGTTAAGACTATATATCAGTACCTTAGCAAACGTGATAAATATTCGTTTTTAATGTCCAAAGTTCCAGACTTTTTCAATCTACCGACGAATAAATATGTCGTTAATAAACCGGATAACATTATAAACGGATCAGTATATAGACTAGCTGCTCTCCCGAAGACGGTCCATGGTTTACCTAAAAACTACGTCGAAAGATTATCGTTTACTTCCAAGCAAAATATGCATTCGTGATAAAAATTAAGTTTTATTTTTTAATCAGACTGTGAATAATTTTATTCACATGATAAAAATATAATATTCGTAAAATAATATTATACATTATATTCCAATAATATATATATATATATATATAT